TTATTTTTATTTAATTTTTGTGTTTTTATATACAATTTTTGTTTGTGTAAAATGAATTTTGGTTTACTAATGCTTGTATGCATTTCTTGTTTATATATACCACCTATATATGTATATGTAAATTGAGTTCGGACATATATACACACATATATATGTATATAATATATTGCTTTTGATGCTATTGTTTGCTTCTATTGTTGTTATTGTTGTTCTTTTACTGCTCTACGTTGTTGGCTTATATTCTCTGTTTTCTCATTTCATATACACATAATATAATATAATATGTATTTTAGTTTCTTTTGTTTTTTCTTCTTTAATATTTTATAAATTTATCTTTAATTGTAAGGCGTCTAAAACCGCTGCTAATTGCGTTTGTGTATAATTTTGGGTATTCATGTGTGTGTGTTTATGTGTGTATTGATGTGCATTGCATTTAGAATATATTTGTTATATGTTTGTTATTTCTTCCCGTTTGCTTCTTTGTTCACACGTTTGAAAAATAACCGAGAGTAAGAGTGAGAGAGACTGAGAGCTTTGCCGTCTGTATGTGCTCCTCTCCTTCAATCAATGGCAATATTAATATTCCTTGCTCTTCCAACTGCTGTCGATGCTGCTTTCGCTGCTGCCTTGGGCTGCGCTGTAGTTGTTGTTGCTCCAGTGGTCGTTGCACTGATTTACTTTGAATTTGTTAACAGTTATACATCATTTCGTTTTGTTGTTGTTTCGATTTTAACTGTACAGGATTTGTATGCGTTTTAATTCTATTCTTAATTTTTTAACTATGTTGCTGCTGTTGCTGTTACTATTGTAATTATTATTGATGTTGTTATTATTATTAAACTTATTAGCATTRTTATTAACACCACCACCATCACCAACTGCAACAATTTGTTTAACACACGCTTTTTTTTTACACTTATGCTTTAAATATCCATCTGCAATGCCGAGAGAGAGAGAGAGAGAAAGAGAGATAAAGAAAGAAAGAAAGAGAGAGAAAAGGGAGAAAAATAGAAAGAAAAGCAAAAAGAAATGTATAATCAAATGTATGATAAAACAACAGACTTCCTGTTTTTCTTGCTTGTTTGGTTTTGCTTTCTTTTACTACGCAAACTGTTATACTTTTGTTGATAGAATTAGAGCAAGCGGACATAAGACTCTCACTAAGGCTCTGCTGACAGAGTTGCCATACTGTTTAAAGCATACACACACCTGCAGACGAGACCTAACGTTAACAACAAAGGAGGGGAGGGCGTTGGGGCGGCAGCTTCAGAGCTAGCAGCAGGCAAGGGGCAGGTTTCAAATGTTGTTGCAGTTGTTGTTGGCAATGGCAGCAGCGCAGTCAATTCGCATAGAGATCAGTCGTTGGTTATTTGTTGCTATGTTGCTGTTGCTGTTGTTGTTGGTGTTGCTGCTGCTGCTGCTGCAGCTGTGGTGATGAAGATGTTGGCTGCTGTTGTTGCTGTTCAGACAATTTGCATGCCTGCTGTTGTTGCTGTTGCAGGCCGGCAAAGCTGGTTGGGGCAAGCAGAGCGCAAGTGCCAAAGGTATGCTTAGGCATGGAAAGAAAGCTGTGCGTGCTGGACACGCTGCTCGCAGCAATTGTTGCGCCGTTGCTGCTGCTAATTGTTGAGCTGTTGCTATTGCTGTTGTTGTTTATGTTGCTGTTGCTGTTACTGTTATTGTTATTGGCATGGTTACTGCTGCTGCTACTGCTAACGACAGCCTGTGCCTGCTCTGCACATCGTTTGCTGCTTCCAAATGTTGTCTGTTGTTGTTGTTGTTGTTGTTGTTGCTGCTGCTGCTGCTGTTGGTAGTAGCCCATGTAACTACTGTTACTGCGGCTGCCATTCAGCTGATAGCTGCTTGCCGGCGATTTGGAGCGTGTAAAGAAATTGGTTGTCGAGGTACAGGCCGACTGAAAGGAGCTTACACTGGATGTTGTCGAAGTGGGCGAGTCAGCTGCAGGCATTCGTGGCTGACCAATTATTGCAACTGCCGCAGTAGCAGTAGCAGGAGCAGTAGCAGCTGCAGCTGCAGTTGTAGCATCTGCTGCTGTTGGGGATGCCGCTGTTGCTGGTGTTGTGGTTGTTGGAATCGCTTCAACTGTATCGGATGCCGTCGATGTTGGCGTGCTGTTGCTATTCAACGACGAGTTGTTGACAGTCATGCTGGTTGCTCCGCTGCTACTGTTGCTGCTGGCGTAGGAAGCATTAAAGGATTCATCGCTGGTACCACTGCCAGCACCGCTGCTGCTGTTGAGTTCATCGACACCGCTGGATTCTTTTGCTGACGTTGCTGCGGCATTGGTGGCTGTTGTATGTGTTGGTGGAATGTCTATTGTATGCGACTCGTTGCCAAAGATTAGGCGTAAACGCTTCTTTTGCGGCGTGCCATAGATGCTGTTAGTGCTGGCAGCAACTGTTGCTGGCGGTGGTGTACTGCTGACAGTTTTCAAGCCGCGGCGACGACTGCGTCGTGATTTTTCTTTACTGCGCCAGTTGGTGGCATCCAGTTGTTGCTTTTGTTGGTGCTCTGAGTCCCCTGCCTGCTGGTCCACATCTTGTTCTTCAACTTCCTCCTCCTCGTCTGCCGCTTCCTCGTCTTCAGCTTCAGCCTCAGCTTCACCGTCATCCTCCTCCTCCTCCTCTTCTTCCTCTTCCTCCTCCTCCTCCTCATCGTCATCATCATCGTTACCATGCTCCGAGATGCCTTCCATGCGCAATATTTCATATTCAATGCCGCTGCTGCTGCTGCTGTTGGCATTGTTGTTGTTGGCGCCACTGCTGCTGCTGCTGCTGTTGTTTTGATTGCTATTGCTGCTGTTGCTTTGATTGCCACTATTGCTGCCGCTACTGTTGCTGTGCATATTGTTGCCCCCATGTCCCGTTCGGCCGCCAGCAATATGTCCATTTTGTAGTGCATGTTGTCGATCCTCGCCCAAGCTTGTGCCGAGCTCGAAAACCTCATCGAGAATCGGCGAACGTTTCATTCTCAAAGTCAGCTTTAGCCGTCGCTCTGGAGTCTTTAGAAGCGGCTCCACAGTGCTGCTGCTAATTACGGCTGCTGTTGCTGCTGCTGTTGTTGTCGTTGTTGTTGCTGATGCTGCTGTTGTATGTTGACGCTTACGTTGCAGCACGCCACCAACAGCCTCGCAGTGTATATGCTCTGCAGCTGCCAACGCAGCGGCACGTCGACTGCGCTTCTGCTTGTGTGGGGAATCATCAACAGGTGTTGCTGCTGATGTTGTTGTCGCTTGACGCTTGTTGTTGCCTGCGCTAGTCTGCTCAAAGCTAGACAATAGGTTCTTTTTATATGCGGGACTGTTGCTGCGACTACGTCTTGATGCTGCTGCTGATGCTGCTGCTGCTGCCGTTGCCTGTTCCTGCTGCTCACCTGCCGTGGAGCAGTTTGACGACGAGGGCATCATCATGTTCGCTAAAGAAGCTGTTGATACCGTTGCTGCTGCTGCTGTTGCTGCCGCTGCCGCCGGCTCGGTTGATTTTAGTTTGCGATCACTAAATCTAGCGCTAACATTATTTCTACAGCTATTACTAATATTTAAATTATTACAATTTGTAATCGTTGTTTTTATGTTGCTGCTGTTACTGTTGCTGTTGCTGTTGTTGCTGGCAGTTATTGTTGCTGTTGCTGCAGCTGCTGCTGCAGCCGCGGCTGCTGCTGCACGTCCGGCGCTGTTGCGTGTTACGCGCTTCTCTTGTGTAGTTGCTGCTGCTGCTACTTCGTTGCATTGCTGCTTTTGCTGCTTTAGCTGCTGTTGTTGGTGGTGGTGCAAATCCGTATCGCTGCTCTCGCTATCCGTTAGATATTTGCCCAGTATCTGTGCTGCATCCTTACTGACCTTTTGACGCTGCGTTTGCCGCTCGCTGCGTCTAAGCTGCCGCTGTTGCTGGCGTTGCTGCTGCTGTTGTTGCTGCTGCTGCTGCCGTTGTTGTTGTAGCTGTAGTTGCTGCTGCTGCAATGCTGCAACAGCAGCTGGCTTATAACGCGGTACCAGTACCACAGGCGCCTTATTGGCCATTGTTGTAGTCGTTGTTGTTGCAGTTGCAGTTGCAGTCGCTGTTGCTGTTGCTGTTGTACAGCCCAATGGCGGTTCATCAGTGGATGCTGTCGAAATGGTACTGCTGGTGCTGTTCACACGCGTCGATTTGCGTAACGTTGCAGCAGCAGCGGCAGCGGCAGCAGCAATAGCAGCTCGCCCATTACTCAGCTCGGCGGCTGCCTGTGGCTTTTGCATGGCTGTCGCCTGGCTGGCGGCTTCAGCAGCGTTACTACTGGCTGTTGCGGCAGCAGCTGCTGCTCCTGTTGTGTGTGGCAGGTGAGTGTGAAAATGATGCATATGGTGATGATGATGATGATGCTGCTGCTGATGCGGATGGTGATGCTGCTGCTGCTGTTGATGATAGGCCGCATTAGCCATTATCATTTCAGCATCGTACTTAGTCATGCCCTTCTGTCGCAGCTCTTTCATAGTCAGCGGTGAGACAATCACATTCGGCTGCTTCTTGCCCAGCGACAAGGCAGCTGCATTCAGCTCTAGGCTGCTGCTCTTGGGCCTACCCACAGCAGCTGTGGCTGCAGCTGTTGCTGCATTCGGTGCAACAACACCATTGATGTTGCTGCTGTTGTTGTGGCCCGCATTGCTGCTGCTGTCGTTGCTGTTGCTATTGGAGGTGCTGTTGGTGCTGTTGGCGCGACTCTTGATGCGATTGATGCGATTGTCCGTCTCACGCAAGCGATAGCCTCCGCCATTGGCGCCGCCGGCAGCGCCCAGGCCCAGCCCCAAGCCTAAGCCGTTGGTCAAACCAAGCATTGCCTCATTTAACTGATTTGCCGAGTGTTTGCCCGCAAAGGCGCCTGTCCCGCGTCGCTCGCACGTCTCGCACTCGCAGTATCGATTGCTATCGCCAAAGAAATCCTCGCCATAGAAACACGTAATCTCCTCGCCCACCTCAATGTCACGCAACACCTTCACGCAGGCCGTGTCCCGGCCCGTGGCAAGGAACTTGCAATTCGCACGGCAATCGTGATTGATGTAGGCGGCGGGTCCCAGCCACAGTTGAGCGCAGTTCTTGCGGCAACTATACATCACAGAGAAGTCATTTTTGCCCGAATGCAACAGCGCTGCCTCCTCGGCCTCCGTTAGCTCGGCAATGCAACCGACCAGGCATTCGATTTTTTCGTTCTTCGACCAACGCTTCGTTGAACTAATCTTCGCACCGCGTTGCTCCTCCAGCGAATATCGATAGCATGCCTCGATCGCAAAGCCACTGTCCTTGTCGAACACACGCAAATAGCGTACAATCTGATTATGTAGGATAGAAAAGATATTTATTGTTCAAATTAGTATTCTCGAAGAACAAGTGTAAGAGACAGAGGGAGAGAGAGAGAGATAGACACAAATGGATTTAAAGACACTTACATGATCGTGCAGCCGCTTAGTGGCTATCTTGTTCTTATTCTTGAGGTGACGAGGTATCCAGGGTCCATCGAAGATGCGCTGTATGGCAATGTCATAGTTCTGAGTGTGTATAAAGTCATCGACAATCGCTTTCAGCTGCTGTGTATCCACTTTCAGAGGCCTAAAGCGTATATTCATTTTGTGCGTCTGAAAGCCCAAATGTGGATCCAATATCAGTGATGTGGCCAGATCATCGTTTTCAGAAAGCTCGCGTGGGGACATGCCCGTCGATTGTGATAGGCGACTAACGGCGCTGCCGTTACAACCGTTAAGGCTGCCACCCATATGAACCACTGCACCAATGCCATGCGATGACGACGTTGATGATGTTGATGATGATGTTGATGTTGCTGAAGAAGATGATGTTGCTGCTGTTGCAGAACTAATATGATGTGGCTGCTGTTGCGACTGGTAATGATGATGATGGTGATGGTGATGATGAGAATGATGCTGCTGTTGCTGATGTGAGTTGCTGGTGTTGGTGCTGTTGCTGCTATTATTGTTGTTGAGAGTTTGGCTCTTGTTGTTATTGTTGTTGTGTGACACTGACGACGCCGACGACGACGACAACGTCGTCGCCGCCGTCACTGACGATGCGTTTGTAATTGAAGACGTTGCGCTGGTGGAGATGTTGCCACTATTCGTGTTGCCGCTGTTGCTACTGCTGCTATTTGTATATCTGCCGGCAGTCTCACTGCGCCGCGTATGATTCGAGCCGACGACCATTCTGTATAATATGCAGTCTGTAAACAGAAACGAACATAAATACAGGAAGAATCGAATTTATAAATAAAAGAAAATAAATTCGATTTAGTTTCAGCACTCTAATTTTACTTAATGTCAATCAACAATGTGGCCATCTACATTTTATACAAATATTTAACTACATAATAAAAACATATATATTGCCTTTGCTCATTTTTATAATTTTTGGTATTTTTACAGTTAGTCTTTTTGAATGGTTAACAGTATACTAAATAGTATTAAAAAATGAATGATTTTAGTGATATGGCAGCTTGCTTTCGATCTGTGAAGTGTGAGAGCGAACAAGACACAAAGAGAGTAATTGTAATTTTAATGTTACTGTATCTGTTAGACATTCTTTGCAATTTTTTAATATGGTTAATACGTAGTTAATTTAATTAGGCATGTTTGTGTACTAAATTTATAAATAAAGCCTCGCCGCAATAGCCTTTTTCTATAGAAAAAAACAGACGAGCTGGCAACATCGATTTCCAGGCTCGGAATATCTACCCCTACAGACACATATGCGAATTTACAGAAAAGCTCTCAGAAGCAAAAGTTGTATCTGCTGACGCCGCTGATAATGATAAGCGTACACAATTTGTGAGTCAAAGCCAAGCCGAATAACCAGCCAGACAACTACGACGCACAAACAAACAAAATCTACTTACATACATATACACTACACTACGGACAACCATTTCAATATACCATAATATAAAATCGGCCAATTTAACTTGAAAAAAAAAAAAAAAAAAAAAAAATCTAAAAAAAGCTTTGTATTATGCTGTGGGTGGTTGGAAATAAAGAAAAAAAAATGCGAGGTCGACAGACGGCACGCGTTTGCTCTCACTATTCTGACCACCACTAAAAAAAAACTCATACACGTGCAAAACAAAAATCAATTAACATGGCAGCACATGTACATTAAAAAAAAAAATACAATCACAAGTTTGCTTATAGCAATAGAATGTAAGTTTAAAACTTTTAAAAAAAAATTATGCACATCACACACAGCTTTTAGAGCAATATATGTATATATATATATGAAAAAAAAATTATATAT